CTTGCATGTCTAAAACAGAACTTAGGACCACGCTGCTGGATCCCCACCAACCCACTTCCTTTTCAAAAGAAAAAATGACTTAGCATCAGTCACTAACACTGACCCAGAAGGTCCCAGGGTGCCATCAGTCCCCCCAATGTTTGTAAAATACCCTCCTGGAAGAATAGAGGGGCACAGCCAGGTGTTCTATGAATGTGGGTTGGAACCAAGGCTCAGAATCCTGGGGATCATCATGCGGGAGCCGTCGGGCAGGACTTGGGAGCTCCAGGCCATTGTGCTTACGAAAAACAAAATCGATGACAGATTTTCATCCACTTATTCATGAGTACATCAAACGGGTATTAAGTGCTGTCTAGTACTGGGAATAAAAGAGAAAACTAAAACGTCATCTTTTACCTTTCCAGACTCAACAAACATCATTTCCATGTGTTAATAACCTCCAAAGGGCACAGTAGCCATCACTCAAGTAAACAATAATGCTGAGAACAGAATTGTGAGTCCACTGATGTTATACTGTTCCTGTTCTTCATGAGTTTCTCAATTGATAAGTTTTCTTTTACCCAAAGAAGAGAAAATCCAGGTGTGGGGGTAAAATGGGACCGCAATATCTCTCTTCAATTATCTGAAGATAATATAGATCAAGATGATATCTATTACATATAGAAAAAGAGTTGGATAGATCTATGTTGTATAGAATCAGTGAGCAGACCAGGGATGATGGGACAGAATTTAAAGGGATTCTGATTTTGCTTTATTTCTAATAGTTGGAACCTATCAACTATGGAATATGTGGTCTTAGGAGCTAATAATAACAATAATTATAATTTAGTAATTACTATGTTTAATGTATTTTGTATATAGTACCTTAAAAACTTTTCTAAACAGTATGTGTCGTTTAATCCTCAGTACTCACTGTGTGTATCAGTCAGGGAATATAGCATTATCTCTATTTTACAGATGAAGAAACTGAGGCTCAGAGAAGTTTACACTATTACTCAGGGTCACACAGCTAATGCAGGACAAGCTGGACATCAAATCAATACCTATTGATTGGTCTTGAGGGAGTGCTTAAAGAAGGATTCTCTTCCTTGGCTTCTTTCTGAGTTGTAAAGAAGCCATCTTCAAACAGGGAAGAATTAAAGGGCAGCTTAAACTTCCAGTGAGGCAAGGGACATTTACCAGGCCAGAGTCCAGTGTAGAACTATGCTCTGCAAACCAAACTGGATGAGAGTGAACTATTTTGTTTATTGTCATTTCTATTTTAAGATTATGTTCTCTGATTTCAATGTGAAAATATAGGTTTGGGCTTGTGGATGGCATCAAATACACCTTCCTTGCTCACTACAGCCACAATCCTACCATCTCCTGTGTGCACAGATGTATGTTTGTGTGTGCATAGGAAATTACTCTCCTGAGCCTGTGAACACACACAGGTTTCACAATTGGCCTGAAACAATGAAGGTTACGATCCAAAAAAGAGGCAGGTTTTGCCGTTTCCTGCATAAAAACAAACAACTGAGTTAATTCATTTGATTGACTTGTTCATTTTCCCAGTAGTGTTTCTGGCACGGGGAAGAAAACTCTTCTGTGAGCACAGCCTGTGTGTGTGGGTGAGTGTGTGAGGACCACCCTATAGCACTGTTTTAAAACTTTCCCCTTTCTTATAATATGTTTTTCAAAGTTCTGCCTGATAATCGCGGATTGTATCTGGAGGCCCACTTGCTAAAAGCACGTTGAGTCATAGGCAGGTTGTAAGAGTCCAGGAGACCTGCAGCGATGACTAAGAGAGTCATTATTTGATAAAAAGGGAAAAAATAGGTATTGGTTTGAAAGGAAGGCTGGGGGAGCATGAAGAACTTCTTGAACAGGGGAAAAAAACACTTGAAAGCTAGCTGGCAGGGTGAGTGGGGACCGGAGAAAACCGGTCTTGTGCAGTAGGACTTGCTCCTGCATTTTAATCACATCTCGATGTGACTGGTTTTTTTCCTCTTTTTGTTTTTTCATCAAGCAAGAAAGGACACAGAGGGGATTTAGCAGTAACGTAGCTCTTTAAACTTTGTACTATACTTTGTCCTCTTGCACATTTTCAAACTGACATCTAGAAATTTTTCATTGTAAGTTCAAATAGATGCACAGTATACTTTTTGTCACCTTGTAAATATTGACAGTTTAAAATTAAACTCTTGCATCACTCTTTTAACGTCTTCAAAGGATTCTAAATACTGTAGTATTTTGATATCCACTGTCACCCATTAAAATATAAATGAACAAGTTCTCTAACAGTCGGACATTTAACACCATTACCTTTTCTTCTTGAACTCGCATTTCCATTCATTTTCCCCACAGAACTTTATTCTAATGTCGTATATGTTTTTATACTTGAAAGTCTTCTCTTGGTCATCCTATCATACATCTCACCAAAAACATGTATATACAATGAAATTTTAAGCTACGAAAAAAGCCCCGAGGACAGAAGTCTCCCAAGTGTTAAGATAAAGAAGCAAATAAATAAATAAATAAACGTTACACAGTTAGTAAATGACAGAGAATTAATTAAGACTCAGAACTATGCTCCAACTTCAAAATCTTAGCCACTCTGTCTGGTTGTACTCTGGGATCTCAGAGAAAAAAGTGACTGCAGCCATGGTAAGATTCAAGATGTCTAATAGGAAGATCTTTCTCTTGTAAAGTGGGAGAACGGTAATTGTGAAAGGAGAGATGAGAAAGGAGAAGCAGAATGAGTCTTCAACCTCAGGTACATTCACAGCAGATCAGTATGAGAAAACAGTCTGTATAAATTGGAAATTAATTCTCTTAAAGCTCTCCCTTTCTGCGTACCTCCTTGGGAAGTCATCGTGTAGCTCTAGAACAGGGTTCCTCCGCAGCGGCACCATTAACATTTAAGGCCAGACAACTCTTTGCTGTAGGGGTCTGTCCTGTGCATTGTAGGGTGTTTAGAAGCATTCCTAGACTCTACCTACTAGATACCAGTAGTAGCCTCCCTCTCTAGTTGTGACAACAAGAAACGTCTGCAGATATTGCCAAATGTCTGGGGTGGGGAGCAAAATTACCCTCAGTTGAGCACAACTGATCTTGGGTTATGTATACTCTAGTTTGAAGGTTACTTATCTAGCTTCTTAGAAATGAGAACAAGGTCCAAATCACTCAAATGTGTTATTTGTGCTTTAATCGGCATTTAAACCAGGCTTCTTCCTACATATAAGATCATGGTGGAGAGTTTGCCTTTAATCCTTTGAGACAGAATTCTAAAAGTACTTTTCATATGGACAAAGATGAACACATACACATATATGTGTAAATAATAGCACGCAGTGAATCAGTGTGTGTGGTGGAAAGATCATGAATGTTGGAGTCACACAGAACTGTGTTTGAATCAGCTCATGTTCATCTGATGACTTCAGGCAAATTTTCGTTAGTAGTATTATTTACCACAATTTATTGAGCATTTTCTACATGGCAGGCACTTTGTGTTCATAATCTCATCTAATCCTTACATAACTCTATAGATAGATACGAGTGTCATCTTAAATTATCTTTAAGTTAAATTAAGTGGTGCTAGGCAGTGGTTAGGAAGTAATGAGAGATGTACAGTTTTCCTCCCATGCATTTATATTGCTTTATCTTATTTAAGTATAGTGATTACTAATGTTGGTTAATGCTTCTGTGTGGCTCTTTTTACAAATAATTTTATTTTGTAAAGAAAAATCTTTAATGTTTATTTAGTGCTTACTATCTGTCAGACACTGTTTTAATTACTTTACATGCATTTACTCTTCAAAACAACACTGAAGTGCTACTATTATCCTCACTTTCCAGATGAGAAAACTGAGGCCCAGAAAGATTAAGTAACTTGCCTAAGGTCACACAGCCACTAACTGGAGAGGCTGGGAGTTGATTGTGGGCAGTCTCGCACTGGAGTGCATGTGTTTAATCATTATACTACACTACCTCACAAAATAGACCAACAAAAAAATTGAATGAAAAAACAGGCTAGTTTCTCTTCCACTGCCCATGATATATATGGAAAGCCTGGTTATTTGGATTTTGTGATCTAACCCATGGCCACTACCTCCTTAATGTCAGCATATCTGAATTACAGGCAAAGTCTTATGGAGAAAATATTTCACTTTGAGAAGACTACTCTGGGGAAACCAAATTTAAAAAATAATGGCAAAGATGATAGCATGTGTAGCTATCTATATCTTACTGTGCAGATCCAGATGGATGTGTGTGTGTGTGTGTGTGTGCTCAGATGTGTGTCTTGAGTCTAACCAGCAGTTTCAGATGTCAGCTGCTGGGCTTTCTCCCCAGAAACCTAAAATCCAGCCTTTTATAGGGCAAGATTTAAAAATAAGAAATCATTATTCTGTTCTAGGATGTACCCTGATTTTCCGGAATCTACTCTCTCTCCGGCAACTACTGTTCTGCTATGTCATGGATGTCACTATCAAACAAGTATGGATGGCCCAGTAACATCAATGGAATGATTCTCTGCTTCAGTCCTGGCATTTTAGCTCCCATTTCATGCTCTGATAAAGAAGATCATAAATATGATTTATTATCTTGCCTGCCATTTCTTTGAATTGTCAACATTTCGTAAGGATTTTCCTTGGGGATTTCTTCTGTCCAAAATGGTGAAAAGGATGTCAAGCATGGGCTCTACATGTCTGCTTTGAATGTGAATTTGGTGGTCTTGACTTACTACCAGTACAGTTGTACTCTGGAATGTTCCTTCAGGGATGGGCATAGATTTTCACTGAGCCATTCATCTCCCATTTAGTCTTCTCATCCCTATTCCGCATCCTGACCAGAGGACAGGTTCAGCTGATTTCTATAAAAGAGTTTTTCTGAGGGAAAACTTAACTGGCTACAATGAGGACCAATCTCCAAGAAATGTCTGCATCAGTGCAGAGCTCTAACCACTGGTAGAATTGGACTATGCAGGAAATCTAAGTGGTAGCATAATCTGACATAACAGTATGGAGAAACTGACACGTTCCCAGGAACTTCTGACTTCTGTGGGGCCAAGAAATACCACTATGATGGTGACTGAGTTTATCATATTGGGATTTGGAGACCTCAAGGAATTGGGTCCCTTGCTCTTCCTGGTGTTTGGCATTGTCTACTTAGCCACCATTTCTGGAAATCTCCTCCTTGTGGTCCTGGTGAGCACTCAGCGGGGACTCCAGACACCAATGTACTTCTTTCTGGCAAACCTCTCATGCCTGGAGGTCTGTTATACATCCAACATTGTGCCCAGGATGTTAGTAGACTTGTTGAGAACGAACAGAGTGATCTCCACAGTAGGCTGTATTATTCAGCTCTACTTCTTCGGAGCCCTGGGCAGCACTGAATGTTATCTTCTGGCAGTGATGTCATGTGACCGGTACCTGGCTGTCTGCCGGCCCTTGCACTATCCAACACTAATGTATGGGACCATATGTGTGGGGCTAGCAATTGGCTCATGGGTTGGTGGCTTCACAGTGGCAGCTGCATTCCAGGTTGCTATGGTATCCAGTTTTACCTTCTGTGGTGGCAATGAGATTGACCACTTCTTCTGTGACTTGAAACCTCTGCAGAAGCTCTCCTGCTCAGATCCCCACCTGGTCAACCTGGTCTGCATGAGTTTAACAGTGCTGGTGACTCTAGTTCCGTTTGGATTAACCCTAGCCTCCTACTGGAGGATTCTTTCCACAGTCTTGCATATACCTTCCGTGACTGGTAGGCAGAAGGTATTCTCCACTTGTTCCTCTCATCTAGTGGTTGTGACCTTGTTTTATGGGACCTTGATCCTGGTCTATGCTGTGCCCTTGGCTGGTGAGGTATCAGTTCTCAACAAAACCTTCTCCTTGCTCTATACTATTGTCACTCCCATGTGTAACCCCCTTATCTACAGCCTCAAAAACAAAGACGTCAAGGAGGCCCTGAAGAAGCTGAGGATTTGATCGTACAATGATCTCCATTCGATCAACAAAACTGATGGCAGTCTGAAGGTCAAGGCACTGTCCTCATCCACAGGGAATTCTCAGCCTGATTGGGAAAATGTAGGATAGATTATAATCATTATAACCTGAAATATTGGTTAATTTCCAAATCAGCTAGCTGATTTGGGGGAAGAGTTAGTAGATTTGTCTTGGTCTCCTTGAAATGCTTTAGTTTTCCTTGAGCATATTTACACTGTGAGAGAGGAGGAGCACTTCCTAGTTGATGGAAGGAGAACTATTCTGGGATAGATAACAAATAATTGCTGCATATAATCTCCCAAAAAGCTCTGTGCTATACCCTTAAGAATGGAGGAACTCCCTAAATGAAGAAGCCATGTTTGTCTGCTCCAGCACTCAGGCTAGAGTTCTAGCTGTGAGACCGACTGTGTTAAATAACTAATAACAATACTCTACCTCTACTTGGCCAGGGATTTAAAAAGAAAAAGGTGGAATCTAGTAAAATATATGCAAACCCACCAAAAGACTGATTTTGGAGAAATGTGCATTGAGCACTTACAGCAATTTCTTAGACGTGTGGATTGCTTCAAGGCACTCTTTTCTATGTTGAGTTTTCTCTAGTGTTTAGAGCTACCCACTGTGTTTTCATTTCTTTCTTTCTGTTCTCTTCCCAGATCCTCCTTCTGCTGTATACCTGAGTTCACCTTGCTGGCCTCACTTGTGATTTTGTTTCTTATTTTTGTATCTCTTACCAGCTACCTAACATTATCAACCAGTATATTCAAGCTACATTTCAAGAGAAAGAAGAAGCAAAAAGATTCTAATTTGATAAGGGAGAAAATACATATATTCATTTATTCAATCAAAAATACTTATTGAGAGCCTAATATTATCCAGGCATTGTGCTAGGCGCTAGGAATAGAATAGTGAATAACGTTTAACCGCTTTTGACCTCAAAAACATTACAGTCTGGGGCCTTGGTGATCAATTGCTCAGAATTTATATTTTTACATTGTTTATAGACTATGTAGTTCTTGGAAGTGCTGCCTATAAAGAGCATCTCTGCACATAAAATCCCAATATTCTTATTTACTTTAATTTTGAGAGTAATTATATAATTAATATGAAACCACCTGATGTAAAGGCCTAATGGAGCTTTTAGTAGGACATATGAACAAACACAAATGCTCATAATGTCTCTTGCTTAGCTAAGTCCACCCAATTTTTTTCTTTAAGACCCAATTCAAGTCCTACCTTCTCTTGGAACTCTCCCTGACTGTCTTGCTTGTGTCATTTCTTCCCCTGAGAAGTAGTTTATTCTCTTCATTTGACAAGTAGCACTCACTTCTCTTCACATTTTAGGTATATGCCCTAGTTTTCCAGTGAGATTATAAATCCTTCAAGAACAGAGACATAAAGTCATTTCTAGCTGTACCCTCAAGTATCCAGCAAAGTGCACTGCACGCAGCAGACATTTGATACCCATCTTCACAGGATAAAATCCAAGTTCCTCAGCGTGGATTCAAGGTCTTCCATGGCCCTGCTCATGTCTCCTTCCCCATTCTCATCTCCTACCAGGCTCCATCTCACAATTTATCATATCACACCTGTGCATCCTTACTCATGCCCTTTGCCTGGAAAATCCTGCCCACATTTGTTTTTCACCTGATAATGCCCCTTCATCCTTTAATACTTGGATCCATCACCATCCTCACCAAGAAGCCTTACCTGACTGTTTTCTACCACCCAAAACATTGAGTGAAATGATACTCTCCTGTCTCTCCATGGGAGTCTTGTGGACCTAGGCTTAAGCAGTAATTGCATTATCTGGTGGTTTGCCACTGCATCTTCAGTTCCTAGAAGAATGCTTGGCATAGGAGACACTCAAAGAATACTTGATGAGTGCATAGCTGAATGGTTTATACCTTCCTCCCTTACTAGATTATTATTATTTCCTTGGCTTCAAGTACCACCTATATATTGATTATCCCTCCATAATTTAATACTGTGGTAAGTGCAGTGAAGGAAAAGCACAGGCTGCTAGGAAGGCATATAACAAGGATACCTAATTTGGATTGGGTTGGAAATATCAGAGAAGATTTCTCTGAAGATATGACATTTGATCAGATACCTGAAAGATAAATAGGAATAATCCAGGCAAAGATAGGTTGTAAAGTAGGGTAGGAGATGGGAGCATTTCCACAGAGGGACTACCTAGCAGCAGGGTCCTGCAGTGGTAAAGACCTTAGAGTATTTTGGGAACAGAGAAAAGGCTAGTGTGGTTACAATGTAGTGACCAAGGGAGAGAGCATCATAGATGAGGCTGGGAAGGTAAGCAGGAACCAAATAACGCAAGACCTCAGTGGATCTCATTGCAAGTGGGATTAGAGCTCTTTGAATGGTTTTTGGTAGAGCGACATGATTCATTTTCTGTTTTAAGATCTCCCTGGCTGTTATGTGGAGAATGACTTTTAATGGGACTAGAGGGCTGACAAACATTGAGAAATAAGTTAGGACACTACTACAATGCTACTTGTGAGAGATGATGGTAGTGTGGACTAGGAGAATAGTGGCAAAGATGGGGAGAAATGAATTTAACTCAACATATTCAGAGGTAGAAGTGATAGGGTTTAGTGATAGATTATAGAGGGAGGCATCAATAATAACTTTCAGGTTACTGGTTTGTGAATTGAATGTGTTTGTGCCACTCACTGGGATGGGAGAACCCTGCAATAGGGCCAGGTTTGGGAGAGAAGAGAACTGATGAGATCAATTTTGTATGAGAGTATTCTGATATAGCAATAGATGTTAAGCAGGTATTTATACTGGTCTGAAACTCATAAGAGATATCTGGTCTAGACATATGCATTTAGAAGCCATCAGCATGTAGATGGCATTTGAAACATGGAAATCAGTGAAATCATGTAGAGAAACAGTTTAGAGGGACAAGAGAGCCCAGATGGAGCCCTGAAATTTCACCATTTGGAGGTCATGTAGAGGAAGAATAGCTAGTAAGTAAGCCTGAGGAGGAGATAGAGAGGTGTGAGGAAAACCCTAAGGTGGAAGCTCATGCAAGTAGAGAGAAGAGAGTGTTTCAAGTCTATTAAACCATACTGAAGGCTGCTGAGAGGAGGAGTAAGTTGAGGACAGAGAAGAGTCCGTTGTATTTGATAACATGGAGGACATTGATGACTTCACTAAAAGAACTTTTGGTAGAGTGATGGATGCAGGAGCCATAGTGGAGTGAGATAAAGAAATGAGTAAAAGGTGAAGGAGAAAGGACACCAAATGTAGATAATTCTTTGGAGAAGCCTGGTTCTGCAAGGAAATAGATTTGGTGAGAGCTGTAACAGGAAGCTTAAGGGAAGATGTTTGTTTTAACAATGTGAAATAATAAAAAATGAATACTATTAGGAAGAAGAATTCATTAGAAAGGGAGATGTTGAAGATGCAGGAGACCAGAGAGATGTAGTGTTTTATGGTCCCTGCAAAAGCTGGAAGCTATAAGGTCCAGAGCACATGTGAGGAGACTGGTCTCTGATCTAAGGAGTGATGCTCGTACTGTGACAAATATGTACTGAATACCTACTATGGGCTTGGTTTTATTTCAAGTACTAGGAGTACAACAATGAATACAGAATGGTTCCTGTCCTCATGGAGTTCACAATTTGATGAGAGAAGCAGACATGTAAACAATTATAATCAGGCTGATTAATGCTATGATTAGTACAGGGCCTTACGTCAATGTTTGGGAAAGTCATTATTATGGGTCAAATTTTGTCCCCTGAAGGAAGATAAGTTGGAGTTCTAATACCCAGCACTTCAGAATATGACCTTATTTGGAGATAGGGTCTTTACAAAGGTAATTAAGTTGGAATGAGGTCATTAAGGTGATCCCTAATTCAATATCATTTGTGTCTTTATAAAAAAAGGAAATTCAGACACCAAGACACACACACAGGGAGAACGCCATGTGAAGATGAAGGCAGAGATTGCAATGATGTGTCTGTAAACCAAGAAACACCAAAGGTTGCCAGCAAACGACCAGAAGCTAGGAGAGAGGCATGTACAGATTATTCCTCATTGCCCTCAAAAGGAATCAATGCTGCCTTGAGTTTGGACTACTTGCCTCCAGAACCATGAGAAAATAAATGTCTGTTTAGGCCACTCAGTTTGTGGTACTTTGTTGTGGCAGCCCTAACAAATTAATGCAGGCACCCAAACCAGTCTGAGGGAGGGAGGTTGATCAGGTTAAGGGAAGACTTCACAGCAGAGGTGTTATCTGAGCTGAATCAAGATAAATAAATAGCATTGCATAGGTGGGGCCTGGGGAGGCCATTCCATGTAAAGTGATCATCATCTGCTATGGCTTGGAAGTGAAAGAGTGTGAGTATCCAAACTACTGCAAGTAATCCAGTGTGGCTGGATGTAAAGTGTGTGGGTGATGGTGGTGACAACTGAGACCTGAGAAGCTAGAGCCAGTTCATGAAGGGCCTTCTATTCCACGCCAAGGAATTTGGACTTTATCCTAAAGCCAAGTGGGTGGCCTTTCAATGTTCATTCTCCTCCCCACTATTCACTTGCCTAACTCCATTTTTCCAGGAAGCTGTCTCTTACATCTATTGTGGAACTCCTTTGCAGAAATGTGGAAAAAAACTTGCTTCTTGATCTCCTCAAATATGCAGCAAATTCCTTGAGGGAAGGGGCTATGTCCTGTTTATTGAGATATGCCCAGTGCCTGGCAAGTGCTTGACGTATAGCAGTCTCTCAATAAATGGCTGTCTGGTGTGTTCCTAAGGACAGCATTGGGACTTCTTGGCTCTCTCTGGAGTGATACTCCAGGACGATCCGTATTTTGCTTTTGTTCTTCTTTCCTCTTCCTTCCTCTCACTGATGACCCAGAACCCTCCACACTTGGCTCTCATTTCACTTCTCCACTTGATTTCCTCTTTGGACAAATGACCCTTGGAGCATTCAGTGTGCTTTCTCCCACACAAAATCAG